CCCGGTGATGAACAGTTAGCACTGTAAAATATAAATGAAGCAATAAAACATATGCGCTCCTCCACTTGATCGTTGTTTACCTCAATATAACAAGCGTGGTCGTGTTGTCCTCCTTGCGGACATCTCCCGTTGGCTGGACTCAGATACAAATCGTCTGTCTTTACTATTCGCACGTAAATGGGTAGCAAAGAGTACTGGGAAAACTTATCGGCGTACTGATTGGCTGTTTCAATGACGTCACCCAAAGCCTCGTCCAACTGGGACAGCGGAAGACAAAATTCAGCTGTGCGCACGCTGAAAGGGCGAGATACAAACGGTGTTTAATTTCAAGATGGTGGTCGTGTCCCAATTAAATTTACCTGATCCTCTCTTACGGCTCTTTGGTATTTTAATGATCTTTTCACATTGCAACTGTAAATTTCTCTCACGGTTATGTATAAATACCAACGTCAAAAATATATGCAGGTGGTGTATATTTACCACCCAGCACTTAACGCCTCATAAAGGAAAGAAAATAACTGTCGTAGATAGGTGAACATCTGCTAAAAAATTTAGTTGTACCTCGTTTATCCAAATCAGCCTGAACAAAATCGTCATCATGCTCCTTTTCCTCGCTGAATTGGTCATTAGTTTATAACAGTCCCCGTTAATACTCCATTAGTGACGACGTACTGATTTCCCCCTTCGCTCCTCCAATTCCCTTTTTACCAGTTTTAAATAATGACTGATCCCTATCTGCTCTTAAGATATAGAAACGATCATCGCAAGCTAACTGCGGAAAAAATAGCCTAAAAAAAAAACTTCGACAAAACTTGAAGCTGTACCTAATTGATAACAGCTCACCTGCGAGGCCCATTTCTCTTTTTGAATTTCATCCACAAGTCCACATATGTTTTATTTCATTTCATGCTATTAATTATCTATGTCAGTTATATAAACACAATCTTAACACTCACTGCATGTTTCCCTTGGTGAATTGCAACACATTATACCATCTCTGCACGTAGGAATGCTCACGAGAGAACTGCGAAACACCACAGTTTGTGATATCTGGTATTCTAGTTGGGCAACACGAAGCGCATGTTTGAAGACATGACGCTATGCAGTCTGTCTGTACACATTCCACATCTGCGCATCCTCTACCGCCTTTACAACACCACCAAGAACAGCAGGCGCAGCATGTAGATCGGCGGGATGTTCTCTTCCCTTTTAGGTAGGCTGCATACAAGAATCTGCATTAAAAAAAGGTATATAAGGTAAATTCAATTTTGCTTCTACAGCTATAAATCCGAGGTAATAAAGCACTAACATAGATAGAGCGGCCCTCATTGCATGTAACGATTTGCAACTTTCTGCATTGTTCTGTTTCAAAATTGTGTATTTACTTATTGTAGAAAAGTTGGATGTAAATTAAACTATAAGGTAAGACCTTTTCCATGACAAATTAAAAACTAAGCAAAGGTGCTTTTAACGTTTTTCTAGATCCCATGAAAACATTATTACTGGTAATTTCGATTCTTGTCAACTGCGGTATGAATTCTGTAAACCTTAGAGCATACAAAAAAACTCATTCATTAAATGTCAATATCTATCACCTGGGTGGGTGGGTGTGGGAGGACTTTGGGAGGATCACATGAATTTCAGGCCGAACTGAGGGGGGGAGAAGGATCAGTCGCCACCAACATGTTATTATCGGGGGAGTATAGAAAATAGACTGCTAAATACCTGCCAGTGTGCGTGTGTGGGGTAGGGGGGGAGAGGGGGAATCATTAGATTATTACAGACCCTTTGTGGGGGGTTCTGGTAAATTGTATCGTGACGTAACCAAAATCCCCCAAATCCCCCCCCCCCCCCCCACCTCCCCCCCAACAGGTGACAAATCAGGTGACAAATAATGACCGAACCCTTACGAGACCGTTCTCTCTTTTATTTTAGGTACCTTTTATGCGCTGGATATGGATTCACAAAAAACGAGAAAAACTCTCCTTCCGCTCTATTGGTGAACATGGGTTCAAATTTCTGTTTTACGCGGAATTTCTCTTTCCCGGGCCATGGAATTTTCACCTCAGTGCGCTCTTCTTCGATCTTGTATACGGAAATACAGCGGTATGTAATAGAGTAAATAATTCCCATCGAACCCAAGCTCACAGCTACCGCTCTGAACACCTCGGTGCTTTTCAACTCAACGGGGGCGCCCCCGAAGTGCGCATGCTTGATCTTTTCCTGACACTGGTCAAAAGTCTCTTCTCCATGACTCAGCCTCACTTGGATGCCGGTTGAAATAATGAGGTGAAAACCGACGACTGAAGTAGACTGGGGAGAGTGAAATATAATTTTTTGTTAGTTGTGTGACAAAAACAAAGCTGCCCACAAAAAACCCGAAAAATAGTTATAAGGTTGCCGTTGGTAAGATGAACGCTAAAAATTTTGTTAAGAAGGTCACGTAATTTGACTGAGGGTACACCATGTAGCTCTGAAAAGGTTACCGGTAGTGATGACAAGATCCTTGGCAGACAATCACGCAGCTTCGTATAGGGCGTCTGTTTATTCTTTATAATCCTGTAAATTCGTCTCTATTTTGCTTTTATCATTCTGTGTAATTTCATTCGTGAATTATTACTTTGCATTTGTTCCTTGGAAAATTTTTAGCTTATTTTGCGACCTATGTAATCTTCTTTGAGTACACTGATTAAATATTGGAGTTTTAATGCTCGAAATTTGAAAATGTTGAGTCTTGAAACTTCAAACGTTAATCAAGACTCTCTTGAGGAGAAATTTAAATCAACCATAGCTTACAATAATTAGTTACGGAAGCCCAGTCCATTATAAAAAGAGAGACCAAGAAGGCTAGCATCAATCTTACCTGTTATCCTGAGAGAGGCTAATACATTATTCAAATATTATAATAATAATAATTATTATTATTGTTATTATTATTATTATTATTATTATTATTTTGTAGAAGGCGGTTTAAAAAAAATCATTTTCAATCCCAGATTGGTAAAAGTTTGTGTTTGAAAACTGGTACAAGAATAAAAATAGAGAAGGCGAAATCTGTAATAATAAATTCTTTCTAGACGTGATACATACCATGGTGCCGGTAAAGTAACCCGAGCCATGAGTTGATGTACAGGCCACCCCAGCCACTGTCTGACCAGCGTAATTTCCCATCATGGGTAGCGCCAGCCCGTAGACCTTGTCTAGCTTTTCCACAAAGCGATGCACTTGCATTCCTCCTTCCACCTCAATATCTACAAACTCCTGCTTCAAATTGTCTTTTCTTTTGGCAGGTTTTGGTGTTAAAATCCTGTTCAAGTTTGTCATGTCAATCAAAATGTCACGTGTACTGGTCAAACGCGACCATGAGGACCCAGTCCCCACAGCTCGCACACGGTAACCGTAGTTACTAGCAAAGCGACAAATAGCGGCCAGCTGTCCTGGTGTATCAAGGCCTGTGTGATTTACGGATTTAAAAAAGTTAACGATATTAAATTTTATCCAAGAACTTCAGTTCGAAGGACAATCTTTGCTAATTAATGTTATTTAGAAAACTACACGCATATCTACGTGTACTCAGGAATCGTGAAGGCAAGATCTAGACAAATTCCTCAAACAGTTTCAACACCTCTTTCCAGTGAAAAACTCGTATGGATGAGCATGCAAAAGGCGTGTAAACAGTTTCATCCTTTCTAATGGTTCTGTTTACAAACTTTTGATCTAGTTCTTGAGGCCTACACTCGAAAAGTTTGGATTCCTGCATGCACTTTAGAGCTTCGACACTGATCGGCACCCGAACGCGAATTTCACTTCCCCCCCCCGCAGAGAAGTTTTAAAATTTCCTCTCTGTCAGCCTTGTGTCCAGACTTCCAACTACTTCTTCTCAGCACAAACTGAGAGTGACAATTACCTTTTTTTCTTAAATACCAGTTCTGGATACATTAGCCCGTGTATTTCAGCACCAAGGTCTCCGTAGCTATTCCAATTTCGAGCAACAAGTGTTAAATACTGAAATTTTTGGTTACAATTTTGCAGAAGAATGAAATTTGTTTAGTTTCTTAGCTACTCTCTACAGGTTTATGGAAAGCAATCCTCAACATTAATATTGTGATATTAACATGTCATTCCATTTCACATTGATGTGTGATGATACTTTACCTATTGCCAGTTCACTCGCTATTTCTCTGTCTGTATTGATGTCCGCTAGTGACTTCGGAAACTTTCGGATCACACCCTTCTCAGGCTTAATGATGTCAATCAAAGGTTGCACAGTCTCCAAACCATCGTAATTGTACCAGACTCGCCGAGTGGTGTACGAACACGACCGAATGCACGGGAAGAAACACTGGTTGTATTGACGAGTGGCGTAACAGCAATCAATAGAG